GGTCTATTACGCTTGTTGGTCCATTGTTAATGTTAAAGTGATTTGGAGCTCTTGTATTCAGGAGAATTAAATTAGGGTTTTTTAACAGCTCCTCGATCTTTTTTTCTTTGCTGTCCAGTTTGGATGATGCCCATAGTGTGTGGTGGCTATTGAAGTCACCAGTTAGAATTCGTGGTGATGGGATTTGTTTAATTAGATCTTCGAGTTCATCAAATTCGAAGGGGTGACTGTTAGGGATGTTTAATACTGCAGATGTGTATTTTATGTGGTAAAGATACTGAAATTGTTACTGCTTCTACGTTGGTTGTTAAAGGGATTTTAGTCGAATAGTATTTGTCTGATATTGCGATGGCTACCCTGCCACTTGCATGGCTTTCGTTTACTCTGTTTTTTACAAAGATATTATGGTGTTTTATGACGGAGTAGTGGTTCTTTTTAAAATTGGTTTCCTGTAAGCATAGTATGTCAGGGTTGTGTCGTTTCAGTATGATTTAGAGTTGTTCAAGATGTGCGTAATATCCATTGACATTTCACTGTAAGATTTTCTTCATATTTATTTTGGACGTTTAGGATGATTGTGATGTGTCAGATTCAGTATCAGATGCCTAATTAGTCGAGTGTTTGTCCGGTAATAATTGAAGGGAGAGATCTTTACAGAGTCTGTGTATTCGATTTTTTATGCTTCGATAACTTAGGAGGGGGTAGATATTTTAGCATTTGTATTAAGGCCGGTGTGTTTTCTGTATAGTCTTTGGATATTTCGAGTGGGTGGTTCAATCCAAAAGCGTTTTCTAGGAAGCTTTTTAGCTGAATATAGTTTAGGATGTATTTTTCTTTATGGAGCTCAATTTCTTGGTTTACTAGTTTCAGCATTTCTTCTGTTTTTTCATGATCTATTGGTGATTTAGGCCGTAAAGGTGGACTATCATTTTCTTTGTGGTGGCGACTTTTTTAAAGATTTTGTTTAAAGTAAGTCTAGACTTACATAATTGGGATTGGTATCGTTTGATGACTGCGACAGAGGTTTTTTAATGCCAGTTTGGGTCTTCGGTGGTTCTGTTGTTGATTCCGTTGGTTGTTTTTTTGATAGTTCCATCAGTATTTCGGGTGCTTCAGTTGTCGGTGTGTTCCTGTTTGTCGGCGATTCTGTAGTTTGAAATGGATCGTTGGGGCTCAAGTCTACATTGGTTGTTATGTTATCTTCATTAGAATCAGTATTATTGCGATATAGTTTAGCAACATGGCCTTCTTGTTTGCATAAGAAGCAGTTTAGTGTATCTATGGTGGTAAATATTCGATATTGTGTGTTTTCTGTGGTTATTTAGAATAAGTATGGGATTATTTTTACATCTTTTGGATTGACGTATACTTGTCTTTTGAAACTTAATATATGTGAGTACTCTGGATCGGTCAGTCCTGCTTTTAGATGGGATATTTTTGAACAAAGTCGAACATTGTTTTGTTTGAATATATCTTCTATTGTTGAGTTGGGTATGATGGGAGAGACGTTGGATAAAATTATTCGCTGGGCTGGAGTCAGCATGGGTCTCGTTTCAATTGTTTTATTATTTATGGTTATTGATTTGTGGTTTGAAGTTAGGAGAGTCACCGTTTTTTTTTTTGTCTAAATAGATGCATATTCTGCTGTTTGATATTCTCCATAAGAATTTTATTGATTTCGGACCTATTATTTTTCCTATTGCACAGGCATATTCTTTAATACTTATGCCGTCCATTGCTTCGAGGATAATGGCTTGATCTTTAGTTGGAATAGATTCGTATTTTGCAGCGTGAGCGTAGGATCCATCTGGGATTGAATTATTTTGGATTGGGGTTTTCTCTATTGGAGTTATGGATGAGGAGCCTCTGTACTCAGATGCTCGTTGAATTGTCGGTAATAATCTGTTGATGATTTCATTTTAGTTGGCTGTATTCCGTATCCGAGTGATACGGAGCCGATTATTGTGAAGGCACTAACAACAGTGCACTGTGGCACTTTCACTAATACCCATGCACTGTATATGAGGCACATTCGACGGTACTGTTGTTACACGTCTTCGCGATTGAACGGTTGACACGAAACTGGTGAGACAATTGTATTACAAGAATAAAACCTTTTTATGTTTTTTTTTATGAAACTGTCACCAATATACGTGTCATTTTCATAATTAATATAAGACCAAACACAATGTAATTCAGAACATGTTTATTTGTAATTTTAAATGTTACGCTTAGATGGAGGACTTTACTTTGTTGTATGCTAGCCTATACAAATATATACAGGGTATCCTAGTTTTTTCTAGCCAAACTTTGCAAGCGTGTTCTACACGCAAAAATTGTAAAAAAATGTTAAATGAACATATGCTCTTAAATGTTTTCTTAAGGAATTACAACTAATAATACAAAATTATAATGAACTAGCATTTCGTCGACACAGTGTACGAAGGTATTATAAATACCTCTATTTCTGTTTATATAAACTCTTATGTCTATTTGCTCTGGTAATTGACATCCACATTTTGTATTAATATTTTATTACCGAATTAACATTTGGAACTGATGTCCGTTATTACGAATACGTCGACAAAATGCCAGTTCATTATAATTTTGTATTATTTGTTATAACTCCTTAATAAAACGTTTAAGAGCATATGTTCATATAACATTTTTTCCTTACTTTTACGCGTAGAACACACTGGCAAAGTTTGGCTGGAAAAAACTAGGACATCCTGTATATCCTGTCCAACTACTCAATCCCTCCAATGACCACGATAAAATATTGAGCTTATTGTTCGCGTTAGATAAAAACTTGTCTAAAATTCTGAGTGGGATCAAATTTTATTAAATACAATACACCTGAATCCCTACGGAATACAACATATGTATATGTATACATATATCCCTATACCTTCCCAAAAACCAGTTAGATTTTCATTTTTGTTCAGCGAACTGTGGAATGTCTGCACCACATGATGAAATATCGAGCTTATTGTACACGCTAAATAAACACTTGCCTAAAATTCGGATTTGGATCAGATTTCATTAAATATAATAAACCTGAAGGTAAGACTTAAACATCCCCCCCACGCCCGATCTTGATGAAACTTCACAGATCAGTAGTGGGGGGAGTATTGGATATGATGATGCAATACCAATCTGCGGAAACGCACCAGAGCGAAGATATTGAAGAAACCATTTCTATGCTTTGGACTAGTCTTTTGATGGGGAAAGGGCACATTGGGCCCCGAGTTGAGGGGGATTTTTCAAGAAAAGTAGTTTCTTTTGCTCGGAATGGCCTTGCAGCTCGATCAGCGAGATGATCTTCCAGGAATCGCAAAAAGAGACTGATGAAATGATTTAACATTGAAAAACCAAACCTAACCTAACCTAACCTAACCTAACCTAACCATTGTATGATACCATTGTATGATGAAGTGATGAAGTGAACAGAATGAATGCTAGTAGGTGAATGATGAGGCTATGAGAAAGTGAGTAAGCAAGTGAGTGAGCAAGTGAGTGAGCAAGCGAGTGAGCGAGTGACGAGCAATTGTGTAAGCAAGTGACAGCGTTACGAGCCAGGAACAGCATGAAACCGATATTCACCCTTAGATGTTAGAGATTTGAGGGCTGATGAAGATTCTCGAGGTATGGAATATTCGATCGTGATGGGGACAGCATTAATACAGTACTATATAGGCATTGCGTGAGACCGGCAATGGCAGTTTTCGATTTTTCATATCTCCGCTAGGGGGCGTTTCCGCAGATTGGTATTGCATCATCATATTCAACACCCATCCCCCGATTAATGTGTCAAGTTTGATCAAGATCGGGCGTGGGGGGGATGTTTAAGAATAGCCAACCTGAATCCCTGCGGGAAACAACAACTTTAATAAATTATTGCAAGTAAATATGACTCCAACTACGTCATGTTTGGTCTCATTTTATTCAGAAAAATGTTACGAATATGATGGAAAAAATTGTATAGAAAATGGATTAAAAACAAAAAAGTTAGCAAGACATTGGCGATTTAAACAATTGAATAGACTTTTTATCTTTGCCAACTGTCGCAGCGTTTCTTCCTTTTTCATTCCAAGTTATATTGTGTTTGACCTTATTTTGATAAGAAAAATGAGAAAAATTTATTAATAAAAGTTGGATGACGAAAAAATAAAAAATAAAGAAGTTTTATATTTACACATGTACAGTTATAGGAATTTTCCTCAACTCGAAACATCAGTTACATTTCTCGCCGAGCGAGCTCTGCACGTTTCGAGGGGTCGCCCTCTCCAAGTGGTGGGGATAATATTTTTGCTTCTATCGAATGATTACTGTATTAAGGATAAGAACAAATGTTACAATAAAACGAATTCATAAGTAATGTTATTATATAGTTATGGCGAAAATGCAATAATTAAAAATACGTAGTTGTGAGAATGAACTCTACTACGTTTGCTGCTGTCGACACACGTTCATACGCGAAATTTAATGAAATTATGCCAAGAGTTTTTTTGCGAATAGTTCAGAAACTAAACCTGATTGGTGGTTATATGTGTATGAAAGACTGATTCTATAATGTATTAAAAAATCATCGAAATAAGAGAGGTCGTGTGTATTCGAAATCATTGTCAAATTATTATTATGTATTATTATAATTTACATGATCTTAGAGGTGTTATTAAGTATTATAAAGAACAGGAAACTTATTTTACGAGGTAATAACATAAATCAGAGAAAAAATATTTCGTATTGAACCTCTTAAGATGTTGCATTCAAAGTCATTGTTCTTCAGGTTATTAAAAGTATGTGCTGTGCTATCAAACTAAGTATTAATAACGTCCAGGTTAAATTACATAGACTTCATAATATTTGAAACGTATTCACAAAAAAACAGAGTTGATTCCCGAGTTGATGAAACCAATTGATTCCCGTGTAACAGTTCAGGCTGCTGACTTTTCTTCAATACTGATGTATAATTGGTTTATGTTATAATACTCCAATAATATGACTCGATACATTTGGCATGTACCCCGTGTGAAAAGAATACACTCTATTTACTCGGTATTAAGATATCTTTTCATTTTCAAAATTTACACTGCTTCTGCGAAATTTCTTCTGTTCAAAATTACAGGGATCTGTTTAGCAACTTGAAATCGTTGGAAGTATTAGATTTGTCACATAATCGATTGCAAGAAATTGAAGATACTAGTTTTAATTCCCTGAAGAATTTAAAGATCGCTGATTTATCCTATAATCAACTTACATTGTCATCTTCGATCAAAAATGAATACGGAAATAAATCACCTTTTCACAATTGCACTTCTCTCAGTATATTGAGTTTGAGCAAAAACAATATATCACACATATTCGAAGATTGGGTTAAGGACCACACACAGCTGCGTATACTGGACCTGAGCTACAACGAAATATCTCACATATCAGTAAGTTAGCAAAAAATTCCTTACTTCACCAAAAAGTACAATTAAAAAGCTGTGATTATAAAACAATACAGTTAAATAACTCGTATCTATTTTATCAAAGAGTTACATTTGTTTGTAATCTTCCACAAATTGTTTCTATTTCTTTTTCTATAATTTCAATATTAGTATTTTACTAATTAATATTTCGAAATGACAGTAACAGCATAAACGGAAAAAACAACAAAATAAAAGTTTTGTTTATTTCGTCCATGTTTTCTTTAAATATTGTTTAAAAAAGTGAGCTTTGTCCGCAAATATTTAATCGCACGTTAAGCATTGTTTGTGAAGGTGTGGAAATTACCAAATGTTTATATGTCCTGGTCTACTGAATTAAATAGTAGAATGAGAATGTAAAGTGTACTAATAGTCAATGATGCCTACACAATCTCCACTTAAGTGGGCTTATGCATTCAAACAAATTTAAATAAGAATATTTAATACATACTAAATACATAAGACAGCGACCATAAATGGTATATTCATCACATTTATTTCTCACATTTGTTTCATTATAATCTCTAAATAACTTCTTTGTTGTATGACTTTATTTCAGGCTGAAGATCTACAATTTGTATCGGACAACATTACAGTATATCTCCAACATAATAAAATACAGCATATTTATATGACTCGGGCAGAAGAAATAGCGAAATATCAAAATAAAGCACGTGCCGTAAACATATTCGTTGGCAGCAATCCTATAATATGTGACTGCAATCTATATGATTTTGTCCGCTACTTGGAAGGAAAAATGCATCCTTACGTTCGAAATTACTTCATTATAAACCCAGGATATGATTCAATTTGTCATGGACCGGAACAGATGTATAATGTGTCTGTGCATACTTCAAAATCAAAGTCTTCCAAATATCTAAACTCGAAATCACATGTAAAACAGTGCCTTTGTAGAGAGAATGAAATGGACGGAATATTTGTAGTTGACTGTGCCTCTAAAGATTTAGCATTATCACATAAAAAATTATTGATACCAGATCTGGTACGTAACACATATTATTTTCTTATTCAATTAAAATTTCTTCATTTCTCATAAATAGCTCTATTGAATTTAGTTCTATTGAATGTCACTTGAAAACAATAAAACATTACTTCAATATAACATAAAACTGATGCAACTATAATAGAATATTTGCATATAAAATATACATTTTCAAAACGTCTTAAAATGTGTTATTTGAAAATTCTTTAGCTTCATCTGATGAACAAAAATTTGATATTCGCATGCTTTGAGTTGAACAGAATATTATACCTAGGTATTTAATGATGTTGGTTTGTGGAATAGGTTTACCATTTAGGTATACGGCAGGAGGTTTCTGTTTCCTAAGTGTGAATATTATGTGATTTGATTGTCCTTCATTAACTTTTATTTTCCATTTATTAAACCAGGTTTCGAGGGTAAATAAGTTCTGCTGCAAAAGTTGTGTAATAGTATTAACGTTGACGCGGATGGCCAGAATAGCAGTGTTGTCCGCATAGGTCGATAATGAAGTGTCCCGTGATGTTGGTATATCTAAGGTGTAAAGGTTGTAAGGAATCGATCCTAACACACTGCCTTGCAGTGTCTCCAGCGTGTATCGTGTACAGTTTGGTATATTCGTTCTGGAATTTTACCTGAAATTTTCTATTAGATAGATATGACTTCATGAGATGGTAGTACGGTGTAGGAAAATTGGTTGCTGCTTTATACAGTAAGCCTTGATGCCAGACCTTATCAAAGGCTTTCTCGATGTCTAAAAAATCAGCAGAACCAGTATGCTTTGTTTTCGAAGCATGTAATGACCTTATTGAGTATCCTATGTATTTGCTTAATGGTTGTATGTTTATTGCGAAAACCGAATTGATAATCAGGGATGAAAATTCTTTCCGCTATAATTATTTTTATTCTAACTGATATTATTCTTTCGAGGATTTTAGACATAATTGGAAGTGAAATCGGTCTGTATGAAGTAGTAAAATGTGGATCTTTCTCAGGTTTGAGTAGCATGATAACTTTTAGGCTATTTTCCATTGGCTAGGGAAGTATTTTATTCTTAGCACAGAATTGAATAGAATAATTAGGTACCTTATGGCCTTTGGGGGCCGTTGATGGCATCATGTCCGGGAGTTTTCTTAATTTGGATTCTATGTATGATTCTTTTTACTTCGCTTAACTTCGTTCTGCAAATTGTTTCGTCACCTATTGTGTCCGATAGTTCGGTAAAATTAAGTATTTCGTCCTGTGGGCTTGGGCTATCGAATGAGTGGTGTTGGCAAGTTTTACGTAGGTGTTCGGCAAATGTTTCGGCCTTTTCTGACAAGGGACGTCGCTCAATTGATACACGCCGATTTTTATGAAATTGTTATATGATATAGAACTCGAAAAAATATTTGACACGTATTTTTTTATCGCCAAACATCCACACTGAAGTGATGAAAATAACCCTTAAAGTTGGGGTTGAAAAAACTATTTTCGCAAATATCTCGGGAGCTATTAGGCTTAGACAAAAAATTCAAAGTGCAAATTTTTCTGTTTGAGAAGGACAATAATATGGCGTCAGTGGATTTTTTAAAAATTCATTTGTCTAAAAAATATGTTAAAAATTAACATTGTTTTGCAAATTTTTTTTTATAAAACGTGGTACCATTTTGATCAAATTTCACGTACATAAACTGTGGGTCCAAGGAAAAAATACGGGTAAATTGGAATTTTCAATTTCGCTTGTAAAAAAAATATTACTGTCGTTGAAATTATACATACATTTTATACCTTCCGTTCGGCGTACGACTGATTTCTATAACATAGTATTCTGGCAATTGTGTTATATTACATTTTTTGAATTTGAACTTTGAATTTTTTGTCTAGGCCTAATAGTTTCCGAGATATTTGCGAAAATAGTTTTTTCAACCCCAACTTTAAGGGTTAATTTCACCACTTCAGAGTGGATATTTGGCGATAAAAAAAATAAGTGTCAAATAGTTTTTTTCAGTTCTATAATATATAAAAATTTCATAAAAATCGGCGTGTATCAATTGGGTGATGTCCCTTGTGAGTTAGATTTACCCTATTTACCCGTTGCTGTTTTAATTACCGGAATATAACGTATAGGGTGTTTCATTTTTTGTATGGCTTTCCATAGTGAATAGTAAGCGTCCTTAGATGGGGATAAGTTGATAATGAAGTTGTTGAATTGCTTGTTACTGTAGTCTTCGAGTGTTGCTTTCAATTTTTTGGTAGCTGCGTTTAGAAGTCTTTTGTTGTATGGAGTTTTCTGTTTTTGTCAGGTCTTTTTGAGCTTTCTTTTGTTTTTTATTTTCAGTATTATGTAGTTCGGAAGTGTTACAGTATGGTTGAATATGGTGGTTGGTAGTGTTGCTTTTATAATAGCTTGTAACCGTACGACAGGGTCGCTGCTACGTTCACATAGTTAAAAGGACACGCCGCGCCGTAACAGGCCCCATCAATTTTGGGATTATGTCGGCGCAAGCGCGAACGGGCTCCCCCCTATCGTTATCACGAACTCCGAACCTACGTGGCCCGTGCAGATCGATAGATCGCTCTCTTGCTATTGAACTTCTTATGAGTCTAGACATATTACTAAAACGGATCAGTATAAATCACATTAATCGCAAGCAATTCCGAAATTACGATGCACGGTAGTTAATGCGATTTCTGGCTTTCATGTAGATTTTGATTCGACCGTTTCGTTCAAGGATTTTGACACTGATATTGACGGCACGGCGGATGTTTGTTGTTTCCCGAAACGTTGAAGTAAAGTATGATGAAAATTCTCGCAATGCGACGATTTTCATTGTTCGCGGTGGGAAAGAAGAAAATTTTTGCATAGTTTCTTGTGTTTAACCGCGTCCCACCGCTGCGATATCGTTAATTTGCTAAATGTCGGGCAGTTGAAAGCAAAATGGAATTGATTGCAATACGCACTAATAATTCATACCGTATGTCAGAAAATCTAATTATCTCACTTTCACACAATGCGTAACGATTCAGATTTTGGGGTAAGTGCTCAGTGGTTCACCAAAGTCCTCTTACCAGAAGGAATAAGATAGATGAATCATTCACGAGCATTCACGACTGAACGCCATGTACCACGATGGAAAGTACTTACACGATCGGCCTCATTCATTTCTTTTCACGCTTGATTCATGGCAAATTTGCCGAACTTCATTCATTCTCTTTCAGCATTCTCACCTTCCCCACTCCGTGGCCAGATCTGTAGGAACACTATTCCTATCATAAATTATTTAAAGGCAAAATAGCGTCAGCTAATTGCCCTCGAAAACCCTTAAGAATACGTTGACGTTAACGCATAGTGTCAGTAGCAAATGCCCGCGCACTAGACTCGACTTTACGTGTTTTTACCGCGCGCGAATTATGATCGGATCGACGTTTCTCTGCTATTACTGTGTTGCCGCGACCGACATCTTGCTCGAACGTGAGCAGTCGGAACGAAGTTTCACGAATAAATGTGTAAAATTGATCTAACGTGGAAAGGACGTCTCAATTCAGGGTTTCTTCCCATTTTGGGGGGATTTCACTCGGCAGCGCCCTTTCCAGTACGCGAATAATGAAACCTGGATCCGGATCGACTCCGAACAACTTCAACATGCTAATATTTTGACGAATCTCATCAATTAATTTTGCGAGCTCGTTAGAGGTTGCCTTGGTCATTTAATTTATATCAGTAATAGGGTCGCAATGTTTCGTAACGAGTATACGCCGTTTCTCGACGAATCAACTAAGAGACGCCACACGTTGATAATTTTCCGCGCTCGCGTTAAAAGATAAAATTTTATTTAGCGTGTCGCCCTGAAGAGAACTCTTCAAGTATAGAAATTTTTCTACATCTAGAAAACCATCCTAGAAAGCCATTTGTCGATGCTTCCGTCAAATTTCGGTAGTTCGGCTACCGGCAATTTCAGGGTGCGCAGCCCATCTACTATTGTGATATTATAATACCACATCGCGTTATCGAATGTATCATTGATTCGCGCTGATGAAGTTCCGGCAGTCGTCATCGATTCGATTTTACTCGCAACGTAATAGTAACGACTCACGATTTCATCGATGTCATCCAACTTTCTATCACTTAATTGAATTAAGTTATTAATCATGTCTCGTATTTCTATAATTTTAATTTTGCTTTTTGTGTATTTAAAATAATCCAAACCATCCCAAAAATGAAACTAATATTTTTTCATAATACTCATAATATTTATACACTTAACAAAGTATTAGAACCATGCTGATTTCGATCGAACTTATAATGCATCGTCAAGTATCGTAAGCTAGTTAATAATTGTAGCTAGTGGAAGGGCTACGAAAAATAAAGGAAAGGGAGTGGGCGTTCCGTTCGGGACCCGCTAGTGGACTCGTCAATAAGGCATTCTAACAGGCCCTTGTCTTAGACGTGGGGATCTATGGAAGGGATAGACAGGAACTATTAGTATGAATAGGAAGATTCACCGAGTACTAACGAGAAAATCAAGTCTCGGTCTTATACGCCGTTTAGTCGCAACGAGCGTAGAAGAGAAACCGCCACAATGGAAATAAAACGAATAATTAAGAGATATCAATAACAAAAAAATAAATAAAAGCAAAATAAGAATTCAGAAACTGAGTCGTTCATAACAAGAAACATATAAAGTTTATATTAAAACTGTGACTATATTGCTGACTGTTCTATTACAATAAGTGATCAGTAGAGTAATACATCACGCTCTAAAAATTCTTCACTGATAAAAACTAAATTAATTATCTTTCTAAATATTATGTTTTTGCTCACCTCCTTATAATAGTCAAACTCGAAATCAGTAAACATCATGTCAGTTGTCCGTTAAAAATTTTTCTCCTGTTTAGATGCCGTGTCACAAGCAACAACGGTCAACCTTTGACATGTTTAATTACTTATTCAAGCAGAAGTGCGATCTATCAATGAACTGGAGCCTAGGACACTACGCGAGCCCAACTGGCAGACAGGAAGTGAAAAAGTTACTGTTTAAACCGTTTGGTAATTTGAGCACCATCCTAACCAGGAATCATTTGAAAGGTTTCCCACATTTGCAGCAGATAATTCTATCAAGCAATGGTATAACGCACCTTAGTAGTGACATTTTCGCGGATGTATCTCACCTTGTTGTTCTCGATTTACGGAATAACAATGTACGATTAGCTCCAAGGATTTTTAATAACACTCCAACACTCAAAGTGTTAGAATTGAGTAACAACTCAATTAATGAAATTGAATCCGGTACATTCGATCTTCTTACGAAGCTGCAGACGTTGAACTTTTCATTGAATAACTTGACGCAGCTTAAGTCCGGTATATTCGACAAACTCGTTTCTTTAACATCTTTAGACCTGAGTTCCAACAATTTAAACTCTTTGCCAGAAAACATTTTCGCAAAGATAGAAAATATGGAAGTGCTGAAATTAGATAACAACAGCTTCAACTCATTACCGACACATTTACTGAAGCAGAACGCTAAACTGAAACGTATAACCTTATGCAATAATAGAAATAATATGACTCTACCAGAGACATTTTTCGGAAATCTAGCGCAACTTAAAGAGCTAAAATTAGAATATAACGGTTGGATCATGTTGCCGAAAAATATATTTTGGAGTCTTAGATCATTAGAAAATATCAGTTTGGGGAGAAATGATTTGCTGTCACTAGATGAAAGTGTTTTTTACAAATTACGCCATTTGTTGGAGCTGGATCTCAGTTACAATAAACTGACTACGCTACCAGATGAAATTTTCTCCCGAACGTACGAATTGATACACCTAAATTTGGCAGGGAACCGCATCACTTCTATCAACGGGTAAGTTTGTTATTACATGCCTGCTATAATTTAAGCGTTTGTTCGGAAAGCGTTTCTAAAAATTGTTATAGGCTAATCCGTTCTTTATAAATGTAAATTTCTTATGTACTATATTTCGTATTAAAAAATAATTTAGATGCAAAATGTATAGTTTCAGCGGTGTCGCAACTTATAAATAGTTCCTTTAATGAATAGATGCTGAAAAGTCATGTAGGTGACACACTTTTACTTTAAATGGAATTATATATTTATTTTTGAATGTATTAATTGATGTTGCTTATTATTATCCATAAAATTATATTAAGTTATTTGTATCAAAAGGTTACTTGCATGTGATGGTCTTTTTGGAACAATTGATATATAAACCCAACTATTTGTATATATATGAACACATAATGCGCAGATAATTTGTATCTCTTGACTGAAATTTATCACCCTATAATAATCATCGCTAAAAACAACAAATTCGAAAAACACGTATCCCCTATTTTAATCCATAGTTTACATACACAAAGTTGCAAGAACTAGTTCAACATTTAGTACAAAAATTTAAACAAAAATTATAAATTTTCAAAATATTTTGTGCGATGGCACAACACACCGTACAACATAGAGTCACGATACCTATGATCTCATAAACATTGAGAGTCAAAAAAGTCAATAAAAATATATACTTTACCACCACACTATAAACCAAGACCGAAACCATCCCTCCTAGTCAAGTCCGCGGTCTGTTACAGGCCCATAATAAAATTTCTGGGGAAACCCAAAAAAAACCGTTCCCTCGTCATCCCTACTGTCACTTTCCTTCCTATTGTAGTTATTTGGGTAAAGAAAAACAGTCCGGTTTAAAGAAAAATAGTATTTAATAATATAGATATAATGAGAACAAAAAAAACAAATATAGATATATTGAGAACAAAAAAAAACAAAACTGGCATAATCACGAGTTTGTGACCGACTGACGAAACTTGCAACATATTTAATTGGATATGAACAAAAGAATGCGGCGCTCATCCTCTCTAACGATGTGTACAGACACGTCGAAAAATATAACTGGACTGGATAACTTTTGCAATAACTGACTTTTTTCTTTGCATCATTCATCACGCATAATGTGTAGTTTGTACATGGTGAGGAACTCTCGTAAACGAATTCATGTGGAAAAAGATGGACATTTTTAACATTTCGATACTAAGGACTGGACAATCGTGGTGCGTGTGCGCTTATGTGTTTGTTTAGTATGGGTCCCGAAAATTGTACCATTATTATACGGAAAACATCAAATATGACAGTCACCCTTTTTACTTGATTAATTATTTAAAAAAAACTGTGCTTGGTCTTCACCTTTACTTTCGTTTCATCCATACAATGAGCTCCGTTAATAAATTTATATTTATTAATATTTGTGAATTTTATAACTACTTATTTATAAAATACGATTTATTTGTACATGACCAAGGTTAACCGTCATGCTTGTGTCACGGGAGTATTTCTGCGGATGAAATAAACTAACACCAGTACAACTGTATCTACGGTTTCTGAAGTTAAACTTTCGATCTTTACGGATTTTTGAGGATACGCGTCGCGAAACTATGGATTTTGTCGAATAATGGAGAGTCAGAGCTTCGGCTTTGAAAGTCAAGGAAGAACTAGTTTATTATGTCAAAGGCGGGGATTATATATTGTACATTGAATGAGTCAGTTGTTTTCGGGACTATTGGCTTATCGCTTGTGAATCATGTGTTTTTGGGGGTTATGGAGTTATCGCTTGAGAATCATCTTGTTACTCTTGAGTTTGGGTTGACGTGTTATCTACTGTGACACTTGCATCCATCGCTCTCACATTTGGGCGCGCACTATTCTCTCGCTCTGATTGGTCAGTGTTTTTCATTAATAATTCAAAAACTAAGATTTAACCAGCATTTTGGTAAAAGAAGAAGTTGTTTAGAATCACCCCAGCTACCACTTCCTAAAATTATACCCACCAGTAGCCGAATACCCTGTATAGAGTGGTTCAGAGTCCTTCACACTGGCGTGTCCAAGTCAGAGAAGGTTGTCAATCATCATCCCACTAGTTGATAGATTCTTCGTTGGAATGACAGCAGGTTACGTTGATAAATTTGATTGTGAAATTGTAAGGAAGGCAGTTCGAAATACTGATGTATTGCGGCTCGTGCGGCTTATAGATCATCTCAATGTAGATCAGATCAACGGAATTTGTTTCAGTCCCACTTCGTACTCTACCGTACCTTCGTGTCTTGATACAAGTTCAACAAGTAGTTCAATTGCGATGATGGTGCGCAAGGGTGAGTGTGCGTCACCAAAAATAGTCCACAGTTGCGATGATTCGCAAGGGTGACTCATAAGTCCACCAAAAGTAACGCAAGACTGAACAAGTTGCCTCAAAACTGCCAGAAAGAAAGGAATAGAGGAATTTCAGGTCATGTAGGCGTCACCATAAAGGACCAATCAGGACAGTTTGTTATTTGGAAAAAATAGTGATTGGTGAGATGGTTCAGCGAATGAGATCGTGAGACCTTTGCCTCCGTTCTAAGATTGTAAATATCGTTTGTTAATAAAGTGATCCAAACACTTGAGTGATTTGGGTCCTTCAAAGGAACCAGGTAATGGGACACACTACGAGACTGTTGAATGACCGAGTCCGAGTGCCTTGGCCCATCGAGTAAGTAAGGATTTCATAAACACTGCACATCGCAGGAGTGCCTACTTTAGGATGAAGGATATAAACTTCGTTAAGGAAAGATATATTGGCACTAGACTGATGTGCCTTTTTGGCCTGTTAGAAGGCTATTGTCAAGAGTTAAGAACGTCAAGTTATGGAGACGTTCATGTGGTCTTAATTATCCGTTTAAAATTGTAGGAATGAAACGTTTTGGACTTGACAGGATACCCATAAATATTCAGCTAATTATATTCTGAGCAACTCAGAATAAGCACAACGATCAAGTAGCAACTCGATTCATTTTTATCTTATCTCGCGATTCGCGATCGTACATTATTTAAACAAATAAAGTTTATTATGTTACGCACGAGAAAGCTCCGTTTAGGTTTTCAAAAAGAACCTTTTTTATTGATCCGCACTGCTTTACAATGTGCTGATTGTGGTTACAAAGATGTTGATAAAACGATCTTGAATGAATCTGACTCCGCAGATGATCCGTCTCGTAATACAGGATGATCTGGCTCTGACTTAGCTCACACGCGCCTGCTTGCTTCTGTTTTTATATTCTCTCTTATCTCCAAACTACGCTACTCTTTTTGACTTATCTTGTTTGTGACTTTGGGACCGCGTGTTATGTTGTTTACGTCACCTGACCGGTGAGAATTAAAATTTTTTTATACACAAAAATTCCCTATTTAAAGACGAACAATTTAAGAAAAAGCTTCCAATTTTTTCCTCTCATTCCGGAAATATTCCCAAAAGTACGATTTCAGCTTCCAACTTTAAGGGCTATTTTCATCCCTTTAATGTAAATGATGGCCGATAAAAAAAATACATGTCAAATATTTTCTTGAGAACTATGTTTCACATAAATTTCATTAAAATCGGTGTATCTCGGTTCGATATTGTTAGGTATTGTGCTAGGTTTTAATTCAATTTTTTGAATCGGGAGTAAAGGAGGGAAAATTGACTGTTAACACCTATTATGCGTGGAACAATCACAATCACTTTATTTTAGATTGCACAATTCAATACGTAACAAAGAGCACATGAGTTCACTCAACGACCGGTAGACGAAAATACGACGGAAACGCACGGAAATCTTGCCCTTGACCACAATTACTGCGTGCGAACGCGACGGAAGTCTTGGGCGGAACTATGCGTTAGCTCCGAACGCGACGGAATCTTCACGCGATGATAATAACGATAAAATAATATTAAGAAAAAAAATACGCCGACTTCAAAATGCACTAAAAAGTATAAAATAATTCGCCGACTTCGAAATGCACTAAAAAGTATAAAATAATTTCTATTTCCTAATGAAGTAATTTCTATTTCATTCAATCATACAATTACGTAACAGATATGAATGAAACCTATTTACTCGTTAGGTAGTATATTAAATACATTTCAACCTTTTCGGAGGCCTCGCATAATTAAAAATACCTCAGTAAACGTTGTTGCCAATAACCAGTTGGTTGTGGTATGACGTATTGGAAATTAATAAATCCTGAGAAGCCTGAGAAAGAATACGAACCATTATAGATATATCTGGTAATATACGTAAATGTAACGACTGCATCTTCATTTCGCAACGTTTCTGATATAAATGAGGGAATGCGAACATGGACGAACGTGCGAGTGAAAGAGTGCAAGAGAGTATACGTGGAAGTGTGCGAGAGAGAGAGAGTACGAACGACTGCGGATGAATACGTGTGCGTGTGCAAAAGAATGCGTGAAAATGACAAAAGAAGTGTGCATGGCCAAAAGGCAATCGACGACAGGATTAGACCTGTTTCGGACGCGTTCCTGTAAAGACGTATTAAATTCATTGTCCTCATTATTCTTTATTCGTTATATTAAATTCATTATTTGTTAAAAGTTGAACCATTTTAATTCGACCATCCCTCCGATCCATTCCTACATAAATGAAATTGAATCGACTTCGTTCGCATGTGGAAGCCATGGATCTAAGAACCTATAAACGGAGCCCACGACGCGGGAATTACCAAAATTGCGGCAGATAGGCTCTATCTTTACATCTTTATAGTATATGCGGCGATCGAGTCTTTCCGTCACATACTCTATGAATCTAGATAGAACATAGTTACATTATATACGCACTAACACCTACTTCGCGGCGTGCTGTCGAGTTATATGTATAGAAAAAAAATAGCTATACAAGCTTTGCCTATGTTCGGCTGTCCAATGGTTGACATGTTCAAGAAAATCTTTTAACTTTGCGCCGCCTCCGAAAAGGTTGAAATGTATTTACTATACTACCAAACTAGTAAATAGGTTTCATTCATATCTG